GGGAGATATTCTAGCCAAACATGCACTACAAGCAGTAGTGATGGAGGGAGGAACAACATGATTCCCCAAAGAGAGTTCAGGCGAAACCCCTATCCTGTTTGTACACCTGTCAAGCAGCACTACCATGATATTCTTCTGAGGGATCTTGGCTGTTAACATATCTATAGCCTACAGGGCTCTTAAGTAGTTGGAAGAATTGGTGGCACCTGAACTCCTGACCACTTGGCTCTGGGTATATTTGCCTAATTTGGTTGCATTTGTGAGGGAGAGTGGATTTCATTTAGCTTCCTCTAAGGATTATATTTCTACTGAAATGCAGAGAGACATGATGGACATGCTAGAAGTGCGTCTTCCTAAATTGTTTTTGCTGTCAGATTGTGCAGTTGCCTGATAACATCAAGCTTTACTTTCTTGCTTTCAGTGCTTGAAATATCACCATATTTGTTGTTCAGTCTCTTCCAGATTGCCCAAAGCACTGTTTCTTCATAAACAAGGGCTCAGAAAAATCACATTTAGCAGGAGCCTTGGTCAGTAAAGTCCCATTTAGCCATCCGAAGTGTGTGCCTGGCATAATAGAGATTCTTCGACATCAAGTGGCATTTAACTGTCTTATTAGCAGCTGTGTCTCTGAGAAACATAGAAATGAAGGTAAACTGTGTGGTTGCAAGTAATAGCAGAGTATAAAGAGAGAAACTCGCTTCTAAGCTGGGTTATAACAGATTTACTGCTCCCTTGCTAAAGCTATCCTTACTTGTGGAGTATTTTAAATGATAAAAAAATTCCTTCATTTTTGTATTACACTCTGATGAATATTTTTTTTTTAAATCTCCTAGGCCTGACACTTCTATAACCATAAACTGAGTTGCCAAATAAATTAACAATTAGATTATACTGTATCAGTATTTTTTAATTTCTGGCATGTTATTCAGCCAAAAAGAGTCCAGATTCAATGGGTGGATATCACTAAATAGTAATTTTATTTCTAGATGATTCAGAACTGCTTTACTTTGAAGTGGTACCACACAAGAGCACCAGCTTTTCTGTCTTTTTCCTTCATCCTGGGAAAGAGAATTTAGCCTGTGGTATGTGTGGAATAATCGATACTGTCCTCTTTATTGGGCTGACAAGGGACTTGGTTCTATCTAGGCTCTTGCACTATGCCTCTCAGTTACAAATACATTCTTGGGGCTACTCTCAATGGTGTGCAACCCATGAAAAACACACAGTAGCACTTCTGTATAAATTGCTTACTAAGAAGTGCTCTGTATTGAGCACAGAAGACAGAGTAAATGCAAATATTGGAGTCCTATTCTGCCTTGGCCTGCAGTTAATGAATAAATTGTAACTTCTACTATTTATGATTCAAGTATATTAGGAAACAGCAAGTCTTATGCAAAAGCATTGCTGCAAGTACCCTCCCATTCCCAGTCTTACCTCCCTCGAAGCATCAGAATGAAAGGATGGATTTCAATGGTTGTAAAAATATTTATTTTGAAATATATTCTATTCTTTCTTAGTGGTAATTGATGTTATAACCTCCAGAGAAGTCCAATGTCACCTTCATTTAAATCCTCAAGATCCAACCCTAAATTCTAGTGATGACTTTCTAACAAGAGCTGTGAAGCGGTAAGTGGTTTTATTTTATTTCATAACAGTTGGAATGAACCTCAGATGTCCACTTAATGGAAATATGATGTGTGTTCACAATGCCATAAACTCAGCAACTAGAAAACTTCACTGTAGCAAAAAGTTAAAATAGTGAGAATAAGTTAGTGTCTTAAGTATCTCTTTCAAACATTTTAAACATTAATAGTGATGGAAAGTGTTTCTTTCTAGCAGAAAGCATGTGAGGCACGGAAACACTTTTTGAATGAGGAGTTTTACCTTTTATAAAGATGGTTTTTTCTTTTGTAAACTCTAGCTGATGACAGTCTCCTGACTGGCTTACCTCAAAATATCATGGAAAGGACGTTTTCCACATCTACCTAATACCAATCAGTGCCTCTTTTCAGAAAGTGAGGTGTATATGCCATGTCTACAACACTGTCTCTGGCTTGTTTTCTGAAACCAATTCCAAGAGAGGCAAGTTGCTGTGAAAGACGAACATACTCTAGAGAAAGGACTGAGAGCACTAATTCATTTGGCATAAGCTAGTGCACAACTACTGTCTTTCTGATGACAGCAAAATCCAATGCAGGCTGGATTTTGAACCTATTTAATTAGCTTGCCCTGTCTTAAGTCACAGGATACTAGATACTATTCCCAGAACTCGGTAACTCTATTATTAAGAGTGGAAAACAACTCCTCTAATGTAGATAGTGTTCTAGAAAAGATATGCTCTGTACCTGTCTTTATATAAAACATGAAAGTCACAATTATAAAACTCAGCAAGAGTTAATATATTTCAATTTAGTAGTTTAGGTTTTCATTAAAAGCACCCTTATGAGTTGTTTTTTTTTTTTAACCAAACCCTCCCAACTCTTTTTACAAAAGCTTCTGTACCACTGAACTCAAAGATCCAGCTATTGATTTAATTGTGTCAACATATGTTTCCAGTGTAGCACATGTAGTAATATTTAGTTACAATGTCACACCGGTTAGGTTGTATGTTTGCAATGTCACACCAATTGGGTTGTATGATTACAAGGTAACACCTATTAGGTTGTATGAGGCAAAAAGAGGCAAGGAGGTAGTGCTATTCTTCACCACACCCGTCATTCCGGTGTCACCCACGGTTTAAAAAAAGAAACGTTGAAGAATGAATGGATGAAGTCTGTAGTAGTGACTAATGTTCCGTTTCCTTCTTCAGTTGCATGTCAGTCCCCGTCGTCATGAGAGCTATTTTCAGGAATGCTGCCAAGGCGAAAGCTGATAGTGAAACACAAGACACGGACGTAGACACAAAACAAAACCCAGAACCACCATGTGAGCAAATTACGGATTCTAATAGTCTTGAAGAAAGTCTTTCTGTGGCTGGTCAGGAAGACTTGTTAGTGACAGATAAGCCAAGTATTACAGACAGCCCACAAGAAAATCTCTCCACAGCCAAACTGGAAACGCTGGGTGATAACATGGAAAAAAGTAACCCCACAGTAAGCACAGAAACTTTATGCAGAGTGGAGGAAAGTAATTCCACAGCTAGTACAGAGGCTGTTATGCCAAATAATTAAAACACACAATCTATTGCTTGATAATCAAACAAGATAGAAATATTTTCCCTGGCGTAGATTGTTTTTGCAGAAGTAGTTGGAGAGAACTTGGCAAGCTGTCTACTTAGTAATTTGTGAATGGAGTTTCCTCTTTGCACACTATTAAATACATAGAAATAATACTCCTGAATTTGCATTTTTCAACTTCCATATTTGGAAAGTATAACACTGCTCTAGTAACCTTTAAGTTTGTCTGCACCATACTCTACCACAGTATGGAAGAAATTTCTGTCTAACATACATGATACAGGTTATAACACATGCACTTGTAGAAAAGTACTGTTCATCCATGTCAGCATTATGCTAAATAAACTGAGAAAAATTAAGTTGTTTGAACAATTTGATATATATATAATTAATGCACACAGCCATATTTGTCCACTATTTCAGAAACAAGTTCAATAAGAGATTCATAATTGCATTTCTGTTTTCCCCTAACGCAGAAGTGGTACTGAATAGCAGCCAAACTTACAGTCTACCAACTCCACGGCAGGATAATAGAGCCTTTAGCAAGAAAGTTGTAAACTCAGTCTCTGAAAATCAAGTAATTTGTACCTTAGCCTTTTTCTGGCCTCAAAGGATAAAACTGTTTCGTGATTGATTTTTTTTTTTTTTTTAAATACAGTTGTCAGCAGTCCAAAATTTCAGTTTGTCCTGTCTAGATCTGCTTTGTCTCAGACATGAAGAAAAGTTACAAGCAACTTAAAACAAGTAGGATCCTAACTTACTATAAATGAGTTTAATTAGTGTAAAACAAGAGCTAGGCATCACAAAGAAAAGGCTTCCTGACCACAGCAGTTTGCAGCTACAGTTAAGGCAAGCAACAGGAAAAGGAATCAAACAAAGTGTTGGCACACAAATACAAAGTTGTCAGAAATATGCATGTGTGGCTGACAAAGTTTCTAAGAGAAGGTAAATAAACCTAGCTTCCTTGAAGAGTTTGGGGAAACCACTATAGGAATGAGGGAGAGAGAGTTCAGGGTAGAGAGACTAGTGAAATAAATACAAAAATAACACAAGGAAGTTAATTAGACTGGAACTGTGTTCAGTGTGCTCTATCAGAGTAAGAGTAGGGGGTCTAACAGTAAAACAATGGAATTGTCAGTAGTTCTCCATTTGAAGAGAATGGTGTGTTTTCATCAAAAGTGAAATACACACAACTGTAGGAGGAGGAAAAAAATAGTTTGTAACTGTAAAATTGCATTGCATAGGGGTTATGAAAGACAAGAGGAAGAATTTGACAAAGGGTGAAAAATTCCTGTATTTTATATAGTGACTGGAGAGTCGCAGCACTCTAGAGATCAGCAGCAAATCCTGTTCTATTTTGCACAGAGTTAGATTATCATCAACAGCAGCTTATTCTGCAAGAATAACAGAACACATAGCAGAATAACAGCAGAATAAATATCACTGGGCATTTGTTTTTCACGTATTAGAGGGGACCTATTTGAGAGGCTATTTAAGGTACCTGCTCCATTTCCAAACCGCTGCCAAAAGAGAAAGTGAGGGTGAAATGATAGCTTCTGACAGAGAACAGAAACATGGTTAGTAAATCTTTGTAGAGCATTAAAAGTAATTTTTCCTTTCTGTGAAAGTTATGTTAAAGATTGAAAGCAGGGGGTTTTTTTGCCAGGAGCCAAAGCATGGTGAAGATTTACAGAAATTACCTCTACTAGGAAGTATCAAAATCAGGTTTCCCTAAAACAAAGTGAAGCATCAGTCTGTACATGGTCCGGAAACTGGGAATCAAATCCAGCTAAGATAATTTTAAATACTGTGAGACAAAAAAACCTAATGTTGCAGTTGCTGGACATGATGGAGTATATCCAGTGATAAGCCCAGTTGCTCTACTAGCCAAATAGTCTGCTTTTTAACCTGAGAAAGGGTTGACCTTTCAGGATCTGTGCAGAGTTTTGCCCTGCTGCACTCAGAGTGCAAGGAACCAACCTCACCATTACTTATGCAAATGTTTTCACCAGAGCTGCCCACATCTTCGTCTTTTCCAGCTTTAACTTCATCGTACTTTGTCCCAGCTGGAGCTGTGTGATTAAGGTCCATGTCTTGAACAGAATCTAAAATGTGTCCAAGATGTGGCTGTTGTTCAACAGTATTCAGATACTTAAGCACATCTTCTTCATGCTTTCCAATCACATCGAGAAGATTATTTAACTTACTTAAGGCAGCATCATGTCCATTAAGATGACACCAGGATAAGAGAGCACTAAAAAGGGAAGAACAAAAACAAAAAGTGATTACATGTATTCACACAGACTTACAGTTCCTGAAGGGATATAGCAATGTGACAAGTTACCTATACCATATAAATGTATACAGGTTTCACTCAGGTGTTCTGGGAAATTCAAGCAGTAGAACTGAATATTAAGCTTAAAGATGTAGATTCGGAAAATTTTAAAAGAGCAACTGACGCAGGATTTTTATGAATGATTGCTCTACACCCAGGTAGGCAATTCCATGTATTCAAGACCTGAGAATTCCCATGTTGATCACATTGGACAGATTCACAATGTACTTTTTATTTTCTTTTTTTAATTAAACAAAAAACTGCACACATGCTCTCTCTGTACACACCCTCCACACACACACAACCTTAAAATGTTTGTAACTTACTTCAGGGTTCCTCTGAACTGGCCACAGGTAACCATCAGCTCAGCACCATGTCTGTAACCTTGATTGAAGCCTTCCTGGAGTGCAAGTTCTTTCCCAGCCTCAATTCCATCCCTATAGCCTTCCTGTAACAGGAGTGATGAAACAGATTGTTCACAATGTGAAAAAGTTTACCTATGACAATTTCATCACAATAAAAAAGTTTAAACAAGTATCCAGTCTCTTAAGTTAAAGCTTTTAGCTTTGAACATCCCTCTCAGGTACACCCCCACTGCCAAACCAAAACATGCTTTTTGCAGTACATTATGATTTTACTGATCTATAAGATCCAGTTCTTTTCCAAATGGCTCCCCAGCGAGGTTGGAAAATGAGAAAAGTATTTTTAGAAAAACCAAAACATAAGACAAATCTGCATGAAAGCATGCTTGCTTTTGTGACAACTAACTCCCTTACGAAAAAATTATTGAAGAATAACCTCATATCATTTTCTAGACATTTAAAAACATGGATAGGCTGCAAAACCTCTCCTTTAGCAAAGGTAGTCTCCGATCCATAATCCATGCGCCTGCTTGCTCATGGCAGAAGAAAACTGGTGGCCTTGCTAGAGAAATAGCCAGGAATGAGAATATTTCTTTATTTTGCCCAACATACAGCTCCAGTCTCAATAAATTTTTATGATTGTGTAGTATCTGCTGATAAAATACCAGAGGGATTTGTGTAAGAACACTAAACAGCCCCTTAAGAAAACCAGTCTTTTCAAAGGACTCAGATGCAGGAAATTTTTCCTTGGAGTAGAATACAACAGCTCTGTTGTAATACCCTTCCTCATCAACAGACTACACAACAGCTTCCATTCATGTTATTCAGCCAAACGCTGTTCACCCGTGAGCAGACAAGCCCTACTGGCCCCACGTTGAATGATAACAAATCTGTTGACGTAACTTGAGTTTATGTACTTGTTTTCTTCCCTGTAGAATTCCAGGGAGGGAAGGACTGCAGAAATCTGCTTTCATAAAAATATATGTTTCACTAGGAGAATAAATATGCCACAGAGCTACCAAGACCACAACGTCCAATAGTGGTTCTACATGGAGTCACACATCTTAAATCTGGTTGATGAAGAACTCTACTTAAAAACCCAAACATCTTGTATTTATTTATTAGCGCTGTTTATCAGCGTTACCCTGACATTTACTAGGGGCATATCTACAAGCATGAAGCAAATAGCTCGCGTTAGAATTTAACACTGCCTTTTACAAATGCACATGGTCGCACAGAGCGAGCCAATGTCTTTTCGTAAAACAGTACTTTGCTCTGATAGACTACTAGGATAGAGTTCCTGTAAATCCCTGCTAACTTGTCCTGACATTCAGAAGAAACTAAACCACAATAACTTTTAAGCAGCCACTCTTAGTTTTCCCATATGTATATCAAAGTATGTATCAGTAAATCTAAAATGGTTAAAAAGGCTAATAAATCATTGTTATAGAAATACCTTCAATCTTTTTTTCATTGTAGTGTTCCATTCTTTCTGTAGTAGATACATCTCATCTGCATCTTCATCAAATATATCCTCACTGGATCGTCTGACTGCAGCTTGTACCCAGGACATAACAGCAGTGATGACTATGACCTCTGGTTACGTGGTAAAAAAAAAATGCTGAGAAGCTCTCAAAGGTTCCTCTGGCTAAGTGTCAGATTAGAAGTATAGGTGAAAAATGTGAGCTCTGAAAAAAGCTCATGTATGGAGCTGGTTATTCAACCTGTACATTCATTTCCACATGGAAAACTGACGCTGTTTACCATCATGGTGCATCTGTCAAGAGAAGACAGGCAAATCATCACTGGTAAAGCACCTTCCCTAATTTACACGTACAATTTAAGACAGTAATGTCCTCCCTTCGTACAGCAGTGATAGGCATGTGCACAGCAAACAAGCATCTCTAAATGTTGCTGGTACATGAACAGCAGGCAGACACACCTTTATGACTTGATTCTGACAGCAGCTTCCCCGTGGTGCACGAAGTTACACACGTATGTCACCGCCTGCAGAGTCAGTAACTGGCTAGGACCTTCACCCTTGTTTTTCAGTCTCCTGGCTATGCCAAATACTTAACCACCTTACAAACCTCCAACGGAAATACTCCTTTATATTTAAGTAAAGGATTATCTAGTCCTGTCGCAGAGAGAAGAAGACATAACGGGATTATTTCAGCTGTCCCACTGCAGCAAACCCCAGGAGACCACACACAACCACTTCACCGCACCGGGGAGCCTCTGACACCCCACACGGGCTGGGTTTGCAGAGGCACCGGAGGGCCTCGGAGAGCCG